AAATAGGTGACCGCTGTAGTTTAATTTTCTAGGTGGGTGACATTTTTTTTACTCATGGGAGAAAAATTATGAATCAACTCCATAACCAAAGGAATATGAAAATATAAAATTAAGGGATTCCCGTCGGGATTCCCTTTGGAGAACACAGCTTTCACCAGGTGCTGGGAGGCTGCCAGTTACATAGTGCCACTGCAAAGCCCTTGCAGGCGTAGTTGTCATGCAGTGTGTCACCTTTTGTTTCCACATCATTCACATTTTCATACACTTTTTTTTGAGGTAGTAGGATTTTGCTAAACTTCACTAATATTTGAACAATCCTTCTGACTCATTTGACTCCTGTTATGAGGTTTATTACTTAATGTTTTTTTAATCAGCCTCAGGAATTTATAGCCCATCGCTGCAGTTGAAGCACCCCAGTGAGGAGGCAAGTACGCTATGTGTTAACTTTAGGTTTAATAACTTTCCCAAGGAATGGTTTGCTTTTCTGTTTTCTCACTTTTTGGAAGTAAGGCAATTCTTGTTTACTATGAACAGGTTATGATTAAGTTTAAAAACTTCTGCAAACCTCTAGAAAAGCTGGGTTGATTTTATTTGTGTTTGACTATAGATCTACCCCTACCAGGATATCAGGTCAATTATGCTGAACGCTTGCATGGAAAACTTGGAATATGTATTCCTGTCCTAAACAAGTCAACAGTCAAGCAGGTGAAAGATATTGTACTTGCTTAATCAGCTAATGTCTCACAAACTGATGGATTTCCTTCTTTTTCTCCCTCTTCAATGCAGGAGTCACTCTACGGCGCAAGCTTGGGCAGCAGCAGGACTGCAGCTTGCTAGAACATCGTATAATCGCTTCCAAAATCCAATTCTGATTGGAGGCTGATACAAACCTCGCAGGCAAGAAGTTCCTTGTTGGCTCTGTGTATTTAATGTGGGACATTGTGGTAATAGGATAGGCTTCAGAGGTGACGATCCCTGTGACAAAAGCAAGCTAGGGTGGTGAGGTTTTGATCAGATACTACAGCATAGTGAAAAGGGAAAGAAAGATGGATTTGACAAATATTCAAAATCAGGTATTCAAAATCAAACTATTTATTTTATGAAACCTGACATTCTGAAAAATACCATGTACTCAGAAAACAAGTGGCTAGGCTCTCATGGGAGGGGAAAACTGTGACAGACAGCTTGATTAGGCTTGAGTGAAACTTTGGGGAAAATCACAGAATGGTTTGGGTTGAAAGGGACCTTAAAGATCATCCAGTCCAACCCCCTGCCAAGGGCAGGGACACCTCCCACCAGCCCAGGCTGCTCAAAGCTCCATCCAGCCTGGTCTTGAACACTTCCAGGGAGGGGGCATCCACAGCTTTCCTGGGCAACCTGTGCCAGTGTGTTGCCACAAAAAATATGCACAAACTACGTGCAGTTGGCACCAAAACCCTCTCATCCTGTTAATGGCGTTAACATTTCTCGGCTGTTTGGACCATCTTTATTTCTTTATCAACATACGCACACAGGAATTGAACCTTTGGGCATAAATGTTTTTGCTGTTGTTCTATCCAGGATAAGGTAAAGTATGAGAGTTCTTACCAAAAAAAAAAGTCCATCTTTCAAAAAAAAGGCTTGGAATGGATGGGCCCAAATGCCAGTGAGCAGTTGGGCCAGCACTGCCCCAGTCCTTAGTGTGGGAACAAGTCAGGGACAGTGTGGGGATGTATCTCCATCTCTGTTGGAGATGGGTGGAGGAGTGGTGGTGAACGTCTCTGTATCTTACTAGCTTGTCACCTTTGCTGTTTCATGCAGCTGTGCTTTGCACAGCGCTTCAGTGCACTGCCACCTGTATCCTTAGCAGCAATGCCAAAGGCATGATTCTAATTCAGCATCAGGGCAAAGTGATCAGGCAGAAGTCATAGCAAAAGGAACGTGCTAGCTTTAATGCCATGGAAATAAGTCTTAGCAGTTTCAAGTAGAATGGTCTTATCCCTGGGGAGGGCAAGACCAGCTTTGGCCATGAGCTGAGCTCACGCGGTGCTGACCACGAGGGCAAAGCTCGTACTTGATCCCACAGTAGCAAAGCAAAGTTGATGCTGAGTTCTGCCCTGAGAGTCAAGAGGGAAGGCTTTTAACATTGTTTATGTTAGCTTTGGGCATGGTAATGCTCTGTCAGTGCCAGTAGCAACCTCCTGCCTGTATTAGAGATGTGCAGGACTGTCTGGAACCACAGGGACGCTGCGGCAGCTTGTCCAGGTTGCCCTGTGCAGAGTAAGAATTGCTGTGCTGAAGGTGTAGGTCTAATGCAAATGCCTATTATCTTAAATTTATACTTGATTAGTTACAATATTTAGCTAGAGATGCTTT